TTAGGGCTAGTAGCCAAGGAGTAACCCACTACGTCACCATGGCTCCTCAAACATGTAGATATGTATCACTGTTTAGCACTGAGAAATAAATGGAATCTGTACCTCCATATATTTCTAGATACTTACAGATACCTCTCTAGATATACATGGAATATGAGAATGGTATGCGCACCTGTTATTTTTAAAATTAGCAGATACTATATCAAAAATACAAAAATTTCAAAACTAAATATCTACTCAACGGAATACGGAAAAGAAATAGTGGGCAAGACAAAGACCCAACCCGTCAGCTCAGTCCAAAACGCCAGCAGATCGTTCCTTTCCGACTGGTGCAAAATCCAGTGGTGCAAGCACTTCCTTTCATCTATAAATATCCCAAACCAAACCCACCGCCATCTAGTCGATTCTGATGGCATAAGAAAAAGCATAAGAAGGCGTGGAACTGTCCCAAGACAGAACTTTTCACGGAGGGCCACTCGCACAGCTCTCTCCACCCTGCAGGCTGTGGGTTTGAAAGGCCCGCCGGACTGTGAAACAGCGCGTTTCCCTGACAGCGCCACCAGGCCTTCTCCCAGGGCCCGAGGAACTAACGAGAGATCCGATTGGCTGAAGCGTCATGACGCCACACCTCTCAACCCGGCTCAGAGCCACTTTCCGATTGGCCCCTCCAGAAAGAGGGCGGGGACAACGACTGAAGTTGACCTCTGGGCCCAGAACCCCCGGGAAAGATGGCGGCGTCCAGGTGCTGGAGGCTCCTGCCTCCCTCTCGGCGTCTGTCACTCCACACTGCGGCCGAGGCGGCTGTCGCGGCTCCGGAAGCGATTGCTTCGGACGTCGCGTCGGTCCGCGCGGCGCGCTACCCGCCGATTGTGGCCTCCCTGACTGCCAAAAGCAAGGCGGCGCGGCAGCGACGCATAGAGCGGTGGCAGGCGAAGGTGCACGCGGCCGAGTCGGTGGACCAGAAGCTGCGAATCCTCACCAAGATGCAGTTCATGAAGTACGTGGTGTACCCGCAGACCTTCGCCCTGAACGCGGACCGCTGGTACCAGGGCTTCACCAAGACTGTGTTCCTGTCGGGCCTGCCGCCGGCGGAGCCCGAACCGGAGCCCGCGCCCGACCTCGACCTGGCCACCCTGCGCGCCGCCGCCTGCGACTGCCTCCTGCAGGAGCACTTCTACCTGCGGCGCAAGCGGCGCGCGCCCCTCTACCAGGAAGGCGAGGCGGTAGCCTCCCCCTTTCTGGACCAGCTGGTAGCTGCCCTCGTGGGCCTGCTCAGCGCTCACAACCCGACCTTGGCAGCCGCCGCTGTGGGTGAGTCCTGGAGTCAGCCCCACGCGCCGGGGGACGTGGGGGCTCTGGGGGAGCGGCTGATGTTGGCCCAGTGACCATGTTTTCCTTTCTGCGTTGTGTGTTTGTCCCGACCGAAGATCCCGGGTGGCCAAGTGCCCTGTATGCAGGTTAGCTGTTCAAACCCACCAACCGTTTTGCAGAAAGCTGAGGCTGCCTACTCCCGGAAAGATGCGAAGTTTTGGAATCCCACGGGGGCAGTGCTACTGTGCCCTTTAGTGCTCCTATGAGTTATAATCGATTCCGTGGCGATGAGCTTGTGTGCGTGTTTCTCTTTCAGCTGTTTTAGTAGCAGTTGCTTTGCACCTATGCTGCCACACGCCAGTTGTGTGCATCCTGGATAGTAACAGTAGTTGTTCCTTTCTGTTTTGTGACAGCCCTGCAGATGGAAGGCTGTACCCATAAGTGATTTTATTAGCCTTCTAACCTATTTTTTCTCATTCTAATAGTGAAGATTATATTTCACCACAGAATTTTGAAAATTAAATGCGATATTGATGAACACCGCATGTTTATTGAGTACTTTCTATGTGCCAGATCCTGTATGTCAAATAATTTAATTCTTAATCCTCACAATAACTATTCACAGTAGCTTTGTTATAGATATATACACCCATATATGTATGTCTATATAAGCTTTGGTGTGTGTGTGTGTGTGTGTGTGTGTGTGTAAACTCACTGCCCTTGAGTCAATTCTGTGCATAGTAACTGTGTGTGTGTGTATGCTGTAATCACTACCATTGAGTCAATTCTGACTCATAGTGACCCCATAAGACAAAATACAACTGCCCCTTTAGGCTTTTGAGGTTATAAGTTTACAGGAGCAGAAAGCCTCATCTTTCTCTCCTGAAGAGGCTAGGGTGTTTGAACTGTTGCCCTTTCAGCAACTCAACAGGTAGCCCAGTTTTGAATTACCATATGAAAAAACTAGTCATACATCAAAGAATAGAATTTTTATTTTTTCCATTAGTCACAATAATTCCGAAGTTCTGTATTATTTGTGTTCGTTAGTATGCTAATGATTGCCAAATTTAAATGGTCAAGTGAAAAATATTTTAATGTCCTTTGGTAGATTCTAAACGCCCAGTTCACTTTTACTGGATGCGTGGTGAAGAGATCATTGCTAGTGGACATCGGAAAGGCCGAGTTGATGCTTTGCGATATCAGATAGATGATAAGCCACACAACCAGATTCGAATATCCAAGCAGCTTCCAGAGGTGAGAATTTTTATGCATGTATGTATAAGTATGTATCTGTGTACTGTAGGAGTGTGTGCATATGTATGTATGTATCAATGTTTTATAGGAAATGAAAGTGGCAAACTGGATAATGAACTTGGTAGGTTACAGTTTTTATATGGACCTGTGTTTTCAAGTTTCTTTCAAGGACATTTATCTAAAACGTTCTTTTAATTTTTATATCTGCTTTAATATATTCTCCACAGACCAAATGATCATATTTAACTGGAGTTAAGACATCAGTTTTCAGGGTAATATGGGAATATAAAAGTTTTAGTAATAGTTAACAGTTGTAGTTTAAAGTAGACTACAATCGAAAAATTAGATGAGAAGTGTATAAAAGGCCTCTTTGAAATCTTAAAAAGTCATTTCACTGACAGGTGCACCTGACCAGAGCCATGGTTTTGTCCGTCATTTCTCATGGCTGTGAAAACTGGACAGGGAGAAAGGGAGACTGAAGAACTGGTGGGTTTGAGTCCTGGTAATGGAGGGTGTTGATTACACTGTGAACTGCCAGAAGAACGCCCTCTTTCCTTTCAGGGGAAATGATGTAAACGCCTAGTAGTTACAACAATGGACTCAAGTGAACCAAAGATTGGGAGAATGGTGTGGCCCAGGCAACTTTTCCTTCTGTTATGTAAAACAGCACTGTCTCAGTTACTGAGGGTCGCCCGAATAAGCACTATAAGTGAGTGGCTTTAACAAACAGAAATTGATTTTCATGGAGTTTAGGAGGCTGCAGAAGCAAATGCAGGATTCAGGCGCAATGAGAAGCCTTTCTGTCAGCTCTGGGAGAAGGGCTTTGTCTTTTTCAGTTTCTACTCCTAGGGTCCTTGAAGATCATGTGACCTGTGTCTTTGTATTTGCTTCCTTCATCTTTTTAATAACTCAAGAGATTCATTTAACATAGCATAAACTAATAATGTGCTTCATTAGCATAACAAAATCGATTCCAAAGTAGATTCTGACCCAGAATCCCTCAGGGCAGGGAGTTATTGTTGTCTGTCCAGCTGGTTCTGGCTCAGAGCAACGCCATGCACAATGTAACAAGCCTGCTGAGACCTGCGCCATCCTCACAACTTGCTGTGTTTGAGCCGATGGTTGCCCCCCTGTTCCAGCCCATCTCCTGAAAGGTCTGCTTTTTTGCTGACCTTCTGCTTTACCAACCTTGATGTCCTTTACAGGGGACTGGTCTCTCCTGATCATATGTCCCAAGTATGTCACCCTTGCTGCTAAGGAGCGTTCTGGCTGTACTTATCTTCTAAGACAGACTTGTTTGTGCTGGCATCCCATGGTACTGTCAATATTCTTTACCATCACCATAATTCAAATGCATCACTTTTTCGACACTCTTCCTTTTTGGCCAGCTCTCCCATACGAGGCAATTGAAAATATCTGGGTCAGGTGCACCTTACTTAGCTCTCAAAGTGACTTCATTGTCAGCATGCCCTTTAACACTGTAAAGCGGTCTTGTGCAGCAGCCTTTCCCAGTGCACTGCATCATTTGATTGGGCAACTTTTCAATCCATTAGCATTGATTGTGGATCTAAGTAAAATGAAATCTTGACGACTTCAGTCTTTTCTCTGTTTATCATGTTTATCATGTTTTCTCTGTTTATCATTGGTCCAGTGACCAATATGAATATTGGGGTTTACTTTACATTGAGTTATAATACATACTGAAAACTATAATCTTGTTCTTTCTCAGTAAGCATTTTATGTCTTCTTTAGCTAGCAAAGTTGTGTCATCTGTATATTGAAGGTTGTGAAAAGCTTACTTCCAGTCTTCTTCCAATCCTAATGCCAAGTTCTTTTTCATATAATCCCCACTTCTCCGGTTCTTGGCTCAGCATACAGATTGAATACGTGTGGTGAAAGGATACGCTCCTGATGCAGACCTTTCCTGATTTCAAACCATGCTGTATTCCCCCATGCTGCTCACACAGAGGCATGAAAACTCAAACTCACTGCTATCCAGTCCACTCTGATTCAGCGACCCTCTAGGACAGAGCAGAACTGCCTCTGGGCTTCTGATCTGTACATCTTGACAGGAGTAGAAAACCTCTTTCTCCTGTAGAGTGGTGGGTGCTTTTAAACTGCTGACCAATCATAGCCTGCTAAGCCACCAGGGCTCTGGACTTTAGACATATAGGGGTTAGGATTTATAAGGCATATTTTTTTGGAGGAAAGATGTCCAGATTGCACAGTGGTTTCACTGAAAAATTCAAGGTTGAACTCAGTGACTACACTTTGGGAAGATGTGGCAGTCCACTTCTCTGGGGGCTACAACAGCCTGTGAAACCGTGAGGCAGGTCTGCTTTGTCCGGTAGAGTTACTCTGAGTTGGCATGAACTTGATGGCAACAAGTTAATTTTTATTGATTTATTCTTTCCAGGTGGGGGAAGAGACGATTTACTAAGAGTTGCCGTGAATTATAACCAACTCAGTGGCAACTGAAAACACCTTAGGTAGTAGTTACTGAGGGTAGTTTTGCATTTGTGAGCTGGGTCCTTTTAAGTATTGAGAGTTGTAGAGAACAGCTAGCATATATTGAGTGTTATCATTAATTGATCAGTGTCAGTAGTCAACAAACATCTGCTTTAAAAATCCCCAGAACCCAAATCAGAGGCAATGTCTTCGGTGCAAGGCTGTGATCTTTCTGGAAGCAGCTGCCCCATTCTGCCAAATGACTGGTGACTTTGGACAACTACTGATGTTTCACTTAACGGTCTCACACTTGCCCACTGAGCCACTAGGGCTCCTTTTCAGTGATCCAGTTAGTAAATATTTTCAGTCCCTCTAGCCATAAGTTCTTTGTTGTCACCATTTGGTTGTGCTGTTATAATGCAAAAGCAGCCGTATGAAATGTGCTTGTATAAAACTTTTAACTGTAAAAACAGGTGACTGGCCAGAGTTGATCCATTATGAGGTGGTGGTAGTGGTGTTTGTTAGGTACCCTTGAGTCAGTGACTGAGAGCGACCTTGTCCACAACAGCACGGAACCCACCCACTCCTGCGCCGTCCTCAGAAGCGTGCCATTAGGTGGTAGTCTTACTAAGTCATTTTACAAAAACATTTAATTTTAAGATTTTAATATCTAATAAGTGTGGATAACATGCATATTAATACTGATGTGAACTATCTTTTCTTCTTCTTTAAGTTTGTACCACTGGATTATTCTGTTCCTATAGAAATCCCTGTTATGAATTGTAAGCCAGACAAACTTCCATTATTCAAACGGCAATATGAAAACATCATATTTACTGGTAAGTTTCCCATGACCTTATATGCCATGTATTCAGAGTAGCATATGTGGATATCGATAATTAAAACCAACGAGAAGAAAACTCACTGCTATCTAGTAGTTTCCAGCTCCTGGTGACCCTATAAGACAGTATGGAGCTGCTCTATAGGGTTTCCAGGGTTGTAAGTCTTTATGGAAAGAGACCTGCTCATCTTTCTCCTGTGGAGCAGCTGGTTAAGCTCAAACTGCTCATCTGTTAGCATCCCAATGCTTAACTCACTGCTCCCTTAGGGCTGCAGTGAGAAATTGGTTCCTGATGATCTAAAGGTTCAGGCAGTTAACAAACAATAGAATCATTATCGTAATCTTGTGCATGAAAATTGGGAAGGAAATGGTTTTTCAGTGCACTGTTTGTAATTTTACGTGCTTCTACTGTGTAAGCAGCTTCTTTTTTTAATCATCATGAAAGTACTACAGTGCTAATTTAATTATTTCTACGTGTAAAATGCAATGACACTGATTACATACTTCATGGTGTACAGCCACTGAATACTATCCTTCTTTAAGTTATTCCATGGCCATTAGCATAAACTCTGCCTCCTCAACAGAAACTCCTTCCACCCTCCCATCCAGTGGTGTTTGATTTTGTGTTAGTCTGGGT